CCCTTCACATCCTTTCCAACTCCAAATATGCCCCTTGCTCAAAAAGTTTGCCTACCCTGATCTAAGGAAAGCTCTGCTACGTAGATCAGATCAACCAGGTTCCATCAACCTCTGCCTGTGCTTATCAAAAGTCCAAGGAAACCTTTATTTAACAGACCATTCTAGGTAAGAAATGTCCTTTCTGAACATCCATTAAGATGAAATTACATCATCTGTGTTGATTTACATAATGTGTGTAATGATATCATAATGCAAGTGACATAAATTGCATAAATGCATTGATTTGCATCATACATAAATGACACAATTTACATGACTGCATAATGGCATTACACATATGTAAATTGACTCAACTGATGTAATTCTTGTCATTTGCATAATTATGCCATTACATAAATGATGCCAAGAGTTGCAAATAAAGTCAATTAACAAAGGTTTTTGTATTTTTTAAATTGTGTTATCTGAGCTACTTTGGATGCAGTGTACATGTTTGCTATTCAGGAGAGATGTCTGAATAGAAATTTTGTCCATTGCATTGCGTCTGAATTCTAAATGGGGATCTATTAAATCCAGGTTTCACTATCTTTGGAGGGGCATTTAGCAACTCACTGTTTCTGAATCTTGCTTTCAGCTATTTTACATTCTGACCCATTTTGATAAAATGTTAGTTCTCTGTAACTGGAGTAAGGGTAGATTCAGCCTGGAGATTAAGGAAAAACACAATAATAGTCTGCAAAGATTCAAAGGATGGTCATGCAGAAAATGAAGAATCTTCTGTGATGTGCCAGAAGTTAGGATTAGAATCATTATAAGGAAAATTATAAAGAAAGCAGATTGTGGCTATACTGTTAGGAGAAACTTCCTAATATTAAGAGCTGTTTGACAATAACACAGACTGCCTCAAGAGGTGGTAATCTGTCCTTTCCTTTAAGCACATGGCCATGTATCCTTTTTCAGGGACAAGACTGTCCTATCAGCATAGCAGATCCTGCATGGAGCAAGCGGGGGGGGGGGGGGAGGGGGCTTGGACGTCCAAAGGTCATTTTCAGCTCTTAGGATTCAACCCCAAGTTTTCCAAGGATGTCTTCTCCCCCCATCCCTCCGGCTTTGGTTCTAAATTTTTTTTAGGGGAGTCGTTGGTGTTGGTAGCTTTAATGGTATTAATTGTTTAATATTTTTTTTTGCTGGTTTTT